GGGGGGGGGGGGGTGGCTCTTGTTGCCGGGGGGGGGGGGGGCGGCGGCGGCGGCTGCGGCAGCAGCGACAGCCGGGGAGGTGGCGGAGGCTGTGATGGCGGCGCAGTCGTCCCGTGTGGCTGAATCATAGTACGGTGAGCTGTAGTGCATTCTAGGAAAGGTACTGCTGGAAATGTGATCGGGTCCAGCGGGCGGTGCCATCAGGACGGGTGACATGCAGTCGGAGTGGATGGAACTTCGCGGTGAGTATCGGTGGTGGAAGTCCATGGGGCAGCTCTCTGTGGGGCTGAGCAGGTATGACGTGTGGCGAGACTCTGAGCCATGATGCGTGTGGATGTCATGGATGTGAGGGTCATAGTCCAAACCATGGGGTAAAGGGATTTGGTGCTGGGAGCGACTGCCCGATAAGCCCTTCATGTTCCTGGCCAGAGGGAGGCGCCCGCCTTCATTGAACTTTCGAGACGGTGACCAAGGTGAAAACTTCTGGTCTGTTTGGAAATAAAGAAAAATAAAAACAGAGAAGACAGAAACATGAATAATAACTCTAATCATTACCAGGAAATGTCCTTATTATTGTTATATCAACCTAAACCTCTTCATCCGTGTGTTTGTTGATCTCATCATATTGTGCCTTTAGACCAGGTCCATGCAGTGATACATCTTTTGTTAATGTAGAGACGTGTGGTTACAATACTTGACTAATCATCAAATACTCCTTAGGAAGCAGAACTCCAGCTGGCATGAAGAGACCAGTATGATGTGTGTTTTCATTGGAGCTCACTATATTAACGTTGGTGTGGTCGCCTCCTAGAAATCCTAGAATCTCTACTCTAACAGACTGAGCCAATTTTGTGAAATGATGTAGACGGTCATTTTATGAAAACCATGTTGGTTCACTAACGAAGACTTTGGCCGTTATCCCTAAATAACCAGACAGAGTGACATGCAAGGAAAATGCAGTAGGATCATTTTTAATTTAAGAATTAGAAGAGTTAACCTCAACCATGTGGGTTTTCAGTCGTCCACGTAATTTATTTCAAGCAGTAACAAAAATAGTTCTGGTCCAGTATTCACACCTTCACTGAGGTGAACGCGGCGTCCTGCCGTTGGGTCACGGTGTGGTCACCTCCTTTGTTTTGCTGTGGCCTCCGAACAGAAAAAAAAGCCTCTTGAATGAAGAGGTGCGACGTTCAACAGATATTTTATTTCATTTTATTCACTTTTCTGAAGAAAAGTATTGGATGCTTTGACTTTAAATATTAGATATTTTATTCATCGGCTGACGTAGTCTTTTCTTCCGTAACCCTAGACTTATTTACTACTTTTAATATGTGTTGTTTATACTACAGTCAAAGTCTAATACAAATGTTACGTAACGCCTGTTGTGACTGTACTGCCGAGGCACCTGTGAATCAAATGAAAGCAGTTTTTAAAAATAACCCACCAAGACACGGGAACGCTTCAGAAACAGGCAGACCGGAAAAACGCAGTAAAACGGCCTGTATTAATAAAAGCCTCTGTCTTTGTGCATGACAATTACAGCCTACGTCTTATCAGTTTGTGGCAAAAGATGCAAAGTAAACAGAACGCCGTGACGCTCCGGGCGCCTGCCGTTCCGTTATAATTAATTGCTTTTAGTTCTCTCCAGCAGGAAACCCCATCCCGGAACGGTGCACATCGTCTTACATAACCTTAAAGGATCTGTGATCTCTCGCACGGTTTCAAAGCAGCCAGGAATAAAATGCACCGTTGTCATGGCAACTACTGCTGAAGAACCAGGAACTGTAATAGGATTTTTCAAGGTTGTTTGGGGTGGCTCCCAAGTCCTGTGTGAAATAAGACACCAGCAGCACGTCGTGGGGCACAGACCTTTTCAGTAGACATATGGAGAGACATCCAGCTTCATGGAGTGATTGGTTAAAAAAAAACAAAAACAAAAAAAACAGGGACAGTGACTGGGTTATAGCAAGTTAATCAACTAATTCTGGAATTTCTTGAAGACATGGAAGAGTATTGTTCTTCTTATACATTAACTATAGTGGAACATAGTGAAACTCACACATTATAGAACTTAATTGTGGTATATATTGTGTCTGTCTCTCTTAATCTAATCTTAATCTCTCTCTCTCTCTCTTGCTATCCTAAGGCAAATGAATTAAATTGTTCATCACAGCAGCAAATTAAAATTACAATTAAATTGTACACAAGTAATTGGTACTTACAACACATACACACATTTTTTACAAAAAAAAATGCAGTAATTCTTATAATTTTATATCTTTTTTACCACTGCAGTTAGCTGCAATGATGACTCCAACATTCATAGAAGATAAAATATCTTTACATTTATTCTTTTGTTTTCATTAGATGGACTAATAAAATATCAGTCTATACGGTCATTAAAAACCACAAACCAGCAGTTTGAAACTATGAGCTGCATCTGAGTGGATTCTTCTTCCAAACAGAGGCTAATGTACACACACAGTACACACTGGTACCAGAGCAGCTGACCACCCTCTGTCAGTTAGTTTTCCATTCATAATGTGAGGCCAAAATCAATTTTAAACCATCAATTCTGTCTCACATCATAAAATGACAACAATTACTGGAGCCTGTGTGTTGTAGTCGTTTAAGACCAGCCATAATCTTTAATGCCTTTCAGCCTGTGTTAGCTTTTACAAACACAAACATTAAACACCAGCTTTACATCCTGGCCAGGTTTACAGAGTGCTCCTCGTATCACACTGCCCTCCTGGGAAATATTTCCTTTTAACAGATTTCCTTTGGCTAGATTTTACATAAATAATACCTCGTCATTTTTTATACAACATTTCTCTATTATTTTCTGTTAAAATCAAATTTTATGTCTATTTTCTGTTAAAATCAAATTTGATGTCATTATTTGTCCATTCACAGTTAGTGGATGTTAGTCCTTGTTCCTTTTTTAGCTCTTAGAGTTCATTTGTTCCAATAAAAGAAAACCTGAAGGAAATCAATTATATCTGAATGTACTAAGAAAGTGAAAACTTCCCAGAAACTTGTCAGATTATGTCAAAACCCGGTCTAATGATTGATGCGTTTGCTTTGGAAAATGTTAGCTGTCAGCTCCCACGGTGCTCGGATCACTTCATCCTGTGGGAACTTTTCAGTCCCGAAGGTGAATGTGTGTGAGGCTGAGTCGGTTTGACAGATTCTTGGCAATTTTAATTTTTCAACACGGTAGAACACAAATTGTACAGGATAAAATTTGACTGAAGGAGGTCGGCTATTTTCCCACAAGCCCGTGAGCACATTTCGTACCGAGGTGTGTAACGATAAACACTGTAACGTATAGAAGAAGAAAAAAAGGTCTCATGCTGACTGAATCACATCATTCAACGTTGTGAATTTTACTGATACATGATGATGGGCAGTGCACTGTGTGGAGGAGGTGACAGGGGCAGGACTGACTCTGGATGAGCTTCTTTCAGCTGCACCCTGGTCCACACCAACCAGTCTGCAGTCGATGAGCTGATGTAACTCCAAAGCTCTTCTAGCCTCCAGCTCGCCCGCCCGGGGTGAACTGTGTTTGTGTTTGAAGTGTTTATTTGAACAGGCCTCCGTGTGCTCACACACCACATTTTTTAGCACCAGTTTCACCTTCTTGGTGAAAGACTAAACCGTTCACGTTAGGAAACGTACCTGACCTGCAGCCGCTCTGCAAACAAAAAGAAATCTCTTCTCCTTTTCTCCACTAATTTGGTGTAAAACTGTGTAGCCAGATAGTCCTGGGAGTGTGTGGAGGCAGCAGCGTCGTTACCACCAGTGAAGAGCCTTTAAGCTACCGCTTAACCCCAAACTGCTTGGTAGCAACGTGACTGTTGCACGAGGTAACTTTTAGGTGCAAAGTAGGGCATTTCTGTAAAAAGAGCAGTCGTGGTCTCGCTAAAAATACATCCTCAAAAAGCTTAGCACGCACATTTCTCGTGTGTGCATCACTCGACTGTGTATTTTAATTCTTTAGCAAAGAATGAACGAGAACACGTGGTAGGTCTTCAACCAAACACGCTCTTTCAGTTTTAGGGGAAAGAATATTCTGTAACATTGAATTAGTTTAACTCAGACAGTCAAATATTGTTTAAACTCTTTTCCTACGCTACAGTCAGCACCTGGCTAGCATTCCCCAAGATGGTTGCACGGTTGCGTAACTTGGAATAAATGAGACCTTCCTCCTCCACACCAGTGCACCGTGCCGCAAGGGAGAACACAGCAACAGGCAGCGGAACTGTAGAGCATGAAGCTCGCTGCAGAATGAACATCCTGAAGATGATTCAACCGCAAAACCAGAAAGAAAAGATGAGCTCTGTGTCACAGACGGCACCAGAACCAGTAAAGAGTTTGAATGCAGAGTTAGTTAATGTGATGAGTTAATGTGTTAAACAGCTCCTGGGGCCAAGTTGATGGTTGATGGGCTTCGTTTACCTAAAACCGTAATATGTGTAATAGCTTTCAGTTTAGTAAATAAATTATTAACTATTCAGGTCTCTGCCAGTTACAGTACTCTTTGGGGCTAGAACAACCTTCCCAAAAAAAAACCAAAAAAAAAACACGGAGACATTCATCATACCTTTAAATAGTATCTATTCATTTCCCTTGTTAAGAGATTGCCTGAGTCACAGGAGTCTGGAGTCTATTTCAGTGAGCACAGCATGCTGGGATCTTCTCAGTTTAGAGCCTTTAGTCAGTGGGAGAAAACTGAGTGAGTGATAAAATGCTAAGAGTTCAGATTATACACCACGTGTGTTTAAGAATTATCATTATGTGGACTTGGATTGGCAGTGGGCCGGGGGATTTATATCTCATTTTGTAAACCATTTTTAATACCGACAGACTCCAGGGACAGGAAGACAGCAGTGTTGACTAACACTCTGCCAGTGTTCTGTTTGAGCTGATGTTTTATCCAAAGAGGGAAACACCAGATAAGCCGTCACAGTCACAGCCAGTAGCTAAAGCTAATATCTAGCGGCAACAATTGACAAGAGTACCTTGCTGTTACTGAACGTGATGTCACTCTGGTTGTACTGCAGAGACGGCAGATGGGAGTCAGTCGTTTAGTGGTTACAGCAAAGCTCATGTAAGAGGGAAGAAGTAGCAGAGCTCACAACGGAGACAGAAAAATCATGTGCAGTTGGATGAAGCTTTGCAGTTGAAGCTGCATTTCACCTTCTGATATCCACCCACCCACTCCCTCCCACTGCTGCTGCTGCTGCTTCTGCTGCTGCTGCTGCTGTCAGTGGTGCCACACACCCTGGACACTCAGGCTCCGTCTCTTTCTCTGTGTTCGCCCTTCAATGGAGGGAAAATGTCAAATGGGTAGCTCAGAGTCCATCACCGCTCACTCCAACCTCCTACAGTATCATTTAACACCAAGGATAAAGTTACATGTGGAGCTGTAGCCCTGTTCCGTACGCTGCGTTGCTGATCATTCAAGTGAAATAACCAGTGATTA